TTTGTTATTTCTTATTCATGAATGAATGATAATTCAACAATAATCCAGATTTTTTTATTCATTATTCAATGTAACTTTCATCTAACAGCTTTCTATTATACCGACTTTATACCGACGTTATACCGACGTTATACCGACAGTATCGATACATTTGTTCACGACGACGATTGGCCGTCATATTCAAAGCTGTCGCTCACGCTGTCGCGCGACCGGTCTATACGCGCTCTCATTGGTCAGTGTTTTTCATTAATAATTCAAAAACTAAGCTTTAACCAGCATTTTGGTAAAGGAAAAAGTTGTTCAGAATCACTCCAACTACCACCCCCTAAAATTATGCCCACCAGTAGCCGAACACCCTGTATATTGCCTGGAAACAAGCAACAGTTTCGAGCTTCGAAATTAGCAACTTCTTTGATTGGAGTCCACCGCCGAGTGAGAGATCGGCGATAGAGTGAGAGGTCCGTAAAACAGAAGAAGTTATGGCAAAAGTCGTGGAAAGAAGACAGAACATATATATTATTTTCTCACTCTATCACATAGTGATATAAAAAATCAATGCAAGCCTAATAGCATACCACCTTCGATATAAGCAACTGACCGGTCCCAAGCGTGTTGCTTATTTCGAGGCAATACTGTAATTAATGTTTTAATACAAAAATTAAAGTCGCTGATTCCTACGATCAATTTCATGAATTTGTAAAATATTTTTAAAAAATAATGTAACTTTTAACCTTAATTTTGTTGTTAGCATACCAAAATTTAACACACGAGAAATACATCTGAAAATTAATATAAATTTTTTTACAAAATATTCTTGATAAAGCTGCTAAGTCAAAAGTAGATAGAAATAATCATAAGAATTTTCATATATTAAAATAATAATTTATAAAAAATACATTTATTTTTCAGTTAATTACTCGCGTCCCTAACGAAGGTCTAAATACTTTGTAATGCTATAAATGCTATTAAGAAACATAATATTTTTGTAATATTTAATAAAACATATTTTGCACGAGAATGTAATGTATAAATAACGGTATTTATTGTAGACAGTGATTGGCCACTGTACTTCAAAAGAAATTTAAAAAATTAGCAATTAGCAATCATAGGAAGCAATAAATTAAAATAATATAGAATTACGAATATTTGAAAGAAAATGTGTTTGTAATAATACTATCACTGAGGCATATTTGGTATACACTTACGTCTACATATAAGTACAAGGACACATTAGAATTATTTTATGCAAAATGTCTACTGTTTATAAATGCACACTCTTGAATTTTTAAAAGCTTCATATACTTGTAGAACTCGATTCAAATATTAAACACTGACATTTCGCACTTTGGTATGACTATAATTTTTCAAGTTATGCGTATTAACAACATAAAATTAGCTTTCACTTAAAAAGATCGTAACGCAAATAGAATTATAAATATCCACGTGAATTAATCGGTATTTTATACGTCAAATTTCAGAATTTTATTTAAAAAATACTACTCATGAATCTGCAAGATGATCAAAATTATAAAATTTTATTACAGTGAAGATAATCTGTTTTGACCGTATATTAATAAAAAATGTACAATGTTATTACACAATATTTGTAATAACGCAAGTATTTAAAAACTTCATCTAGTATAAGAAAGTTATAGTTTATTAAAAAATCTAATTTTTAGGATAGTTGATATAATTCAGTAGACATAAAGTTGGGACTAGTATGTGTCCTAATACTTATGGACAAGATTGAATGATCTGAATGATCTTTTAATATATTGTCGAGTTCATGATTCTGAATAATTAAATTATATAGGATTTTTCCTTGCGTTACTTATGTGTATTTTTATCGTCGGCTAAGTCATGTTAAACAATAGTAGCTACATCAGTAATATTATGAAGAATGGCTGGTAACTAATATTAGTGATTATTAATATTAATTCTTAAAGTAATGAACAGCTACATTTGTTATTTTATTTGTCATGAACAAACTGTTTCACAAATACTTAAAAACAGTTCAATTTTAGTATTTTTTTTAAATGACGTGTCACCTGAAAAAATGTCATTTTATTTTTTTATGTACACTTTTGGTTGTACCAGAATTTTGGAAACACCCTGTATAATATGTGCTGAAAGCTTGGGAGGAACGAGCGACGATGAAGTCTTACAGTCAGTTCCATTATTTACCAATTAGTACCTAGATTGTAAATTAAAAATCAACCAATGGTATTTACCGTATTGTTTCGCTTATTTGAATCTGTTTATAGACTTTCCGACAATTTTCTTAATTCACTTCACCGTTACTGCCTCTTTCAAACCTCTCGCAAGCAAATCTGATAATAGTATTCATTGTGTTAATATAAATAAAATGATGTGCCAGTGACAATCCTAAGGATTCGAATGAAATGATTTACCCACGCATTTAGATTTATTAACTTTTATAATCACAATTCATTAAAATAACATACCTAGCACCTTGGGACCGTTTAAAACCTCAGCGACCAAAAATGTTTCTAAAAAGGAAATTACTCATCATTTTAACTTGAAAATAATGATAAATAATCTTTGAAAGTTTTAACATATTTCACAACTCAGTTCGGTGAATTTAAACGCTGGCTATGAACAAAAATTCAGAAAGTGAGAAAATTGAAAAAATAGTGGTTTTCACAGAAAAGTTCAAAATTTGTTCTGATTTTAATATAAAGATCTACAAGTTTCACTGAACACTCTTGAGATATAAAAGTTTGAGGAATAGAATAGTAAAAATACCGAGGTTTTAGAAAAGGTATTTATTTAGATTTTCAGAATATAAAATGGTTAAATTGAAGCTAAATTGTCTAGGATCGTTTCACACCAGCGTAACCGTTAAGGGTTAAGGAACAATAACAAATACGTATACGGGAAAACGTGAGGGATTTCAATTTTAAATGACGAAGTCTGTGCATCGACAATTTGAAGGTTTCGTAATCTACGTAAATCTCCGCTAACTCCTTCTTAAACTAATTTCCCGCTCGCCGTCTTCTAGCGTCAACTGGTAGCACAATCTTTATCACGATACAAAAACCACCTAGATTATTTAAATAAAATCGAATTCAGTATCTTTGTTGATTCATTTTCATTTATTTATCAGGTAGAATGAATTAACACTGAAATTTCAAAATAATATCAGACATTTTCAAATCTGAATAATCATTAGTATTTAATTCCATTGATATAATTATTATCAGATTTTTGTGTCGTAATTATCTTCTATAAAATAAAAAAATAAAAATTACGCATTATTTTAACAGAAAAAAATAATTAAATCATGCGAATAATTTTTATGAAATTTATTAACACAAAGAAAAAGGCTGAACAGCTTTGTTACTACGTTTTATTTTCTTTGATGTCTATGGTAATTATTTACTATATTGAAAATAACAAAAACGTGCTGATATGGATGTTTTTATTCTGCTAGTTAGTAATATGTTCAGTGATTTAACTGGTTTATTTAAATTAATAAAATTTTGTATTAGTTATAGAAATAATAATAAAATGAGGATATATTTAATTTTTGGAACTTCAATATGTAATTCCCAGTTTAAGTAGGTAATTTGTACAAAATAATTAAATTTTAATCGTTTTCAGTTTATATGAAATAGCTGATTTTTACCAAATAGAACGTTAATTATTAAATTTATAATTGAATCCGAGATCAACGCATTTTGCTTCCATTTCATTGAACAATATTGCAATCAATAGCTCTTTGTTATTCCTGTAATAATATTTTTATTATCTCAAACAGTTTTTAAATAAATTAAAGAAAAGTTAACTTGCCAATCTAACATACAGAAACAAATTTTAAATGACTATAAAAATTGAATTTTTCTGTTTTAGTCCTCAATGATATTAAAGACTCGATTCAGGGTATAGAGAAATACAAAGTGTGCTTCAAGTCGGAAACCTGTGAAAATGATGTGATCGATTTGAACAAACTTCTGTCAGAAGCCAGCACGGAAGAACCGATAGTGAAAGATCAACCTGGTTACAGGGACAAACTATTGTACATTTATACGAGTGGCACCACTGGCCTACCAAAAGTGGCTATAGTACTAAATTCAAGGTAAGAAAATTTTTGTTTAACATTAACAGAATAATGTGCAAATTGAAACCTCCGTGGATCCACATTATAAAATTTGTCTGCACTCTTCTGCGACGAAATAAAAATCGAATTATAGTTGTTAAATAAAATACTTATTTCTAACTATTAAATGCACAATAATGTGACATCACAAGATGATGTAGCTAGGGACAATATTATTTTCTTATAATATTAAACAGAGTGTTCTACCTAATTTGGCCATCTTGAATATTTTACTTATTTTTTATAATAAAAGAAAATGTCAGAGGAAGACATTTTATTCAAACAGGCAGATATTACGGTGGTTCAGTAGCTTTTCTTAAGGTCATTTTTTCTGCGATTTTAAGATAATTAAAGTTTTCTCAACCGAGACAATCATCATAACATGGTAAATGAGATCAAGGTAAATCCAATGACCTGTAGTACTATGATCTTCACGTGACCTTGAAGCACAAAAAATACGTAAAAACTAGGTAACTGATGAATAAAGTGAAATAACTGACTAAAAGATTAACGGAGAAAATTTTATCGTAATAAGTGCTCAAAATAAAGTCTACCTTCTGTATCTTCATCAAAAGAGCATCGATCGTTCTCTTTTAAGTAATTTAACACTAGCTACCCTAAGAAATAACTCAACTATGCAGTCAAGACTTTGTCGAGAAGGATTATTTCTCTCGGAGTATTTCTTCCTCTGATATTTTCTTTTATCATAAAAAATAAACGGGATATTTAACCCATTCGAGACCGATTGTACACCATGTGTGAAATTGATTTCCGAGGCTATAAGACAGGTTGCAAGCCAGGTGTACAATAGCAGTAATGAGCAATTATCAGTTATTCTAAGTAAAGCAGTCGTCGGGGTAAGACTTTCCTTGTATTAGTAGTATCTGTAAAGTACAGAAAAACAAAATTTATTTTACCTTAAATTGCACACATGGTGTTAAATTCGCTCCTCAAAATAAAAATATTTTGAAGAGCGAGGTGCACACAAGGTGTGCAGTCATCTTATTTATGCGAATTTACTTATAAATTGACTGATTTTCACAGTAAACAAGTTTTTTTATTAAAAATGAACAATATAAGGAAAAAAAATTCGCTCCTGGGGACCATGTTCGAGCACCCTATATATTCCTTCTACTTAACTGGTGCCATTGCTATAATAATATTTAGTCTGCTATAATTGCAATTGATTGTTTATTTGGTGCTTCATGAGCGTCTTTGCAGTTTCACTGTTTTGCAAGTGTAAGACTCGTTCGATAAATACCCGGTTTAAGAGTTTTAAAGATCTCTTTCAAGAAGCGAGTATTTGTCAGGCAGCCAATAGGAAGCACGTTCTTATCGATATTCGACTGTGCGCTTTGTTATAGTTATAAAAGTGCAAAATCTTTTCTCATATCACTGTTTTTCTTGTATTCTTGTGAAGTATATTGAAAAAGATGCAATAATATAATAGATAACAGTAGGAAAAAGATAGGATAACTGATCAGAAGAGATATGAACATAAATGTGTGACTATTCATATGTTGACTAAGGTAAATATCTCAGTGGTTAAACGATTAAGGAAGTAGTTGAGATAATTGCAATTTCTTTTATATTTAAACAATACAAATCGATTTATATGAGACAAATAGTTCTGCAAGAAAAATAAAGTTCGATTTGGAATTTATGAAGATCCTCTACTTACAGAAATTTCACCTGCCCAACCCTAGAAATTATCCTATTGATATCATATAAGATGTATAAATAAATGAAAATATAAAAATAATGGAAATATTTAAAATTATCAACGTTAATAATTTAATTTGTTTTTTTTTTTTATATATATTTGTGCTTACTTATTTAATGTAATGTGTCCTCAAAAATTTAGAAATTTTCAAAACCTTTAAAGTTCCTTTTCAAATCTCTAAATCCCTTTCCAAATATTCAAGTTATAAAAACTTCTAAATTTTCCAATATGTAAATTTCTAACTACTCATATATCTAAATATTTATGTTTCCAAATACCCCATTTGCCAAATACCCAAATTTTCTATTACACAAATTTCCAAATACCCAAATTTCTGAATTTCTGTATTTCTTAGTTTTCAGTTTTTCAAATTTCTACATTCCCAAATCTCAAAATCTTCAAATTCTTAATCATATACTCAATAACACAATATTATTTTACATTACTAAATATCTATTCGAATATTCTTTAACGTCGTTTTATTTTTATCGGTGAACTTCAACCACGCCATACACCAAGGTTGATTATTGACTATATCATCGTAGTTTACAAAAGTCATTTCATTATGTACGAATATCGATCATCGAATGTAGGTCATTCTTCACCGCTAGATTAAAACGATATCCCTCTAGAAAATTCAAATGAAATCATAACATGTAAATGACGACGGACAAAATTTTAATGTAATTTTTTTAAATTTATGCAAATAACACGTGTCCATCTGTATATTCATTCGATCTTCATGGAACAGAAGAAGTAATAATTAAATATTAAGAAGAAATAATAACGAAAATTTAAGGCACTGTTTGTTGATGAAGTATTGCTTCAAAATTACGCATGTTTCAAATAATTAAAAAGATGAAATCTATTTTCTTCCAATCTAAAGAAAAGATACTGTGCTGGTTTGAAATTAATATTATATTGAATGAAATAATATCTTAAAAAAATTAAATTAAAATTTAATCAAATAATAATTATTTACAGTACTCTATAGATCTATAAAATGACACACTGTATAATGTAAATTAGTGATTACACTTTTTAGTGGATTAGCTATACATATAATTTCACATCTCTATAAATTGAAGAGTAAAATTTTCTAACAAATACTGCTGCAATGATAAATCGTTAGCATATACAAGTAATGTATCTATGCCATTAACGTGTCGTTGTAAATTATCAAAAATTCATTTAACACTTAATGGTCATACTGGGATATGAAACGACCTCAGTCAATTTAGCTTCAATTTTTAGCTATTTTATATCTTGAAAATCTAAATAAATGCCTTTTCTAAAATCTTGGCATTTTTACTATTTCTTCCTGAACCTATTAACACATCACTCAATAAGTCTCCGGTCTAACTAAGAAAAACAAATTTTTTTTTAGAAATTCCACTTTAATCATCAATATACTTTCCTTCCAGTGTGATACATTGATTCCAACGCTCCTCTAACTTTTCAATTCCCTTTATATAAAACGATTTGTCTTTGCGCCCAAAATAAGCCTCAGTTTCCGCAATCACTTCTTCATTTGAGCCAAATTTCTTTCCCTGGAGCACTTTTTTCATATCTGCAAAGAGCCAGTAGTCGTTGGGCTCTAAATCTGGAGAGTACGGTGAGTGGGGAAACAATTCAAAACGTAATTCATTCAATTGAACCATCGTGTTCATCGACTTGTGACACGGCGCATTGCCTTTGTGAAACAGCAAACGTGGCACCCACTTTGAAAGCAATTTGCACATGCCCAAATTTTCATGCAAAATTGTGAAGGCACTACCTTCTGATATCTTCAAGGCATCAGCTATCTCACGCAACTTAAGTTTACGGTCTTTTAAAACTATTTTGTGGACATTTTTTATATTTTCCGGAACAACTGCTGATTTTGGGCAACCAGAGCGTTCAGCATTATCGGTGCTTGTACGACCGCGTTTAAATTCAGCATACCAGTCAATGATAGTTGATTTCCCTGGTGCAGAGTCCCTATAATGCTTATCAAGTCACTTTTTGGCTTCAGCAGTATTTTTTCCGATTAAAAAACAGTGTTTAATCAATACACGAAATTCCTTTCTATCCATTGTCTTCAAAATTACAAAACTGGGGGTACTAAAATGACTGTAACTTTTAAACTATCGGTCAGAATACCATGAAATTTTGAGACGTACTGTTTGAAGGCTAGTATTATTCGAAAATAACGTGGGTCTGTCACCAGTGTCGCCATATATGTGTTAGACCGGGGACTTATTGAGTGATGTGACAGTTCTTGACATCTCAAGAATGTTCAAACAAAGTTTCTTTCTATAAGAACCGACATTTTTTATTCTTTCACGTTTCTGAATTTTTTTTTTATATTTAACATTTAACCCCTTAATCTGCAATTTCTGGACAGTTGCATTACATATTGCTAGTTAATTATTGCTACAACGTTAAAGTGACTGAAGAAACTTAAAATGTTAAGCATAGTTTATCTTCAGCAATCCTTGGTTATGCAGGTTTAATTAGAATTCAACCTAAAATTCAATAATAGTGAAAATAGGAGCCTGGTTTATTACATTCCAGCCGTAGTGTGCGTCACGAGTGTGACAAGATATTGTAAGGCAAGGGTTAAATTTACTGAAACCAGCTGTGAAATATGTTAAAACAATTTTTAGAAATTAGTATTTAGTTTTTAGTAATTTTTTCAAGTTAAAATAATGAAGTTTAATACCCAGTGACTAGGTTCTTACACGACTCCGTGTGCTAGGTGTATTATTCTGATGAAGTGTGATCGATAAGAGTTAAAATTATTTTTTAGTAACTAATTATAACAGAAATTATTTCTATTAATCAGTTGCTACTTCATTACGACTAATTAATCGCAAATTCTAGTTTTAATGCATTCAATACCGTTTTCCATTAAATCGTTTTCAATTTGTACTCACATTATAATGTACAGAGCATCCACAGTAGTACGAATCAGTGTTTATTTTTCATGTGTAGTGAGGATTTGAAAGAAACGATAGGAGACAAAATTGTATTACTGTTTACTAGCAACACGATGTATGTCAACTTTTTAAATTCGTTATTTTTCTAGAAATATGATTTTTAACTACCAAATGATCGTCTTATAAGTTTTTTTTATTTTAAATCACAAAATTTGTTAAAGTGGTTTCTTTGAAATCTGTGTTGATCTTCAGCAAGATAAAGAATTAATGTGCATATTAGTTTATGTTTTATCGTTTGTTTATTTACTTCTCAACTTCACTTTTGATTTCAAGTA